TTTTCTTAAAATAGACATGTTACTTTTCAGCAAATTAAACCTCACAGCAACTTATATGCTTGTGTTGTTAGTCAATGTACAGAACTAAAGATTAAGCAGGGTGTTAGAAAGGTCACTGAAAGTTCTGTACATCTAAAGAAAGATTATTTAGCAGTTAACATCTTGATCTTTTAGGTGCAGCTTCTCTAGAATTCAGAATGTAGGGCAAAGGGAGGGGATGTAGTCTTTCCAAAGGGGGCATATTACCTTGCAGAAGGGCAATGGTAGGGAAGCAAACCTAACTCTGCAAGGATGACTCCCCAAGGAGTAATCACTGTTACAAATTTGCCTTTACTTAGTAGATTTGGAAGGTAAAAGGGTGTGGAAATGGATACAAGGTAGAAATAAGTAATTAGGGAAATAATTAAGGACCACAGTGGGCCATAATCTAATCACTTATTTACAAAGTATTGTGCTTATTATATACATAAGGTCAATATTGTAATTGACAAAAATGTATAGAAAGACATAAATGATCTTCCAATATAGTCTGCACTAGTACTTAAAAACAATCTCAAAGTGTATAGAGAACTAATGATGCTAGGATTGTTGAGTCTGCAGACAAAAAGGCTGAGAATCCTGAGAGGTTGTGGTGCTGATATTAATATTTCAGGCATTGTAGGGTCTTTTCAAGAGGAAAATGGACTTCTGTAGTACCTGGTTCAGTGCAAAGCCCCTTACAAAAGAGAGAGATGTCTGTTAGAGGCATCAAAATACACTGATTACTTGCCAACTTTCTTGGATCTGTTGGTATAAAAACAAGGCCACTATCCTAGCCTTAAGTATTTTTCTAGTACAAATTCAACTAAGTATAGCATTGACTTTGGTGCTTGCTTTATTTTTCTCTCCCTTTTCCCACAACTACTACCTCCTCTTCCTTCTCCCCCGTCTTTCTCATGTTCAAGTCCTTCTCCTTCTCTTCTTCTGCAGTAAGCACCCTGCCTCTTCACAATAGTTTTATGATAACTATAACCACACAATGATAGAATAGAGTATCTTCCACGTGACCCTTTATATACAAATAAGGTGATTGTTGTTCCCACTTTGATATTATCCTTAGTATTTAATTTCACTTATTTTCTCATAGCCATTCACTGAGAAAGTATGATAAAGTATGATAAAGTGAAAAGGTAGACAGACCTCATTCTCAAGTAACATGGAACACAGAGTTAAACTGGAAGGTGAGGGGTGTGTGTGTGTGTGTGTGTGTGTGTGTGTGTATTTCTAGGTTAGGGATACAGAAAAACTTGCCCTAGTTAAGAATTCACCAGCTACTATGTTCCTTTGGATAACTTGTTTTATTGTTATATGTATAATTCCTGCCAGTTGCCAGATTTATGTAAAGACTGACATTATGTAAAGACTGGGAGAGATTTCCTCAGTATTTTGATAATAGGAAAGAACTGTGCTCCAAGGAATGCTTATGCAGATGTTGCAGGTTTTCTTGCTGGAGACTTAGATGGATGAAAAGAAATTAGGAGAGTCTGGAGCTTTGAATGCAAAGAATTCAGGGAATGAGGACGGATTGTAGTTTTTATTTGAATTTGACAGAGGTGATTTTTCTTTAACTACTTCTCTGGGAAGGATGAAAATCAAATTAAATGAGGCAATGTAAGTGAAAGGAGTTTATAAATAGCAAGGCTTTGTATAAAGGCAAGGCACAGTTACCATCTTGACTACGATGAGACATCTGCTTTCTTAGGGAGTCTTTCTCAGTGCTTGATCAATCTGAATGAGTCCTCAGGTGTCCACACCAACTTCACAAATAAACCAAGTATATTTATGCATTTTTATTTTTCAATTATATTTTGGACTTAAAGGACTTTATTGAAACACAGTGCATTCATTGGCCAAATTTGTGGGCATGAGCTATGCAAATTTATTTTCCTAAAATCAGAATACAGACTACTTGTTTTTAGTGGACTACTCTTTGCCTTAAGTACTTAGGCTGTGTTTACTAGGTCTAAGGCATTTTTTTAAAAATGAAGACTAGGTTATGCTTCCTCTTAAAAATGTTAATTTAAATATAGAACACAGCACTCTTCCTATTAAGAGCTTTTGAACCCTCCTCCTGAACAGAAACACAAAGGAAACCCTTGAAAGCAAAGCAGATGATGTACTGCCTATATTTAGGCCTTCATTTGTTTATAGTTTAAAAATCAGTGGGAAAATCATGATCAAAGCAGGGTAATTCATACAGAAAATTGTAAGACTTCTTTATCTGGCTATATTCTGTTAAGAGTCTTTGATTCAAATGGTTCACACAAAGAAAAAAATGTCCCATAGGTTAAGAGTTCTTTCTGGCAATAAACTTCCAGTGTAAACAGGAAGACTCTTGGGCCTCTTGCAGATTTTAGAAACAAATGATACTTACTGCCTTGCACTCAGTAATTTTGAGTCTGAGACAACTGTTGGGATGGCTAGTAAAATGTTCCATTTCTAAGTTCAGTAGGAAGGTTTTGTATAATTACCTTAATAGAACCTTTCTTTTGTGTTTGTGTTTTTTTTGGGGGGAGGGGTAGACAGTAGCATTATGGAAAGAAGGCAAAACATATGCTTTTAATAATAACTCTAAAATTCTATTATGTAAAGAACTTAACAATTGCATCATCATTGCTATAGAGGAGTACTAAGCATTCCAGCTCCTTGTGCTGTGATTGATACAACAGCAAAAATATTAGTTTCCCCAAAGTTGCAAGAATGTACTTTGCAAAGGTATCACCTACTGTAGTTCAGAAAAGGCCAATTAAACTTTTTCTCTTTCTTTCTTTCTTCCTTTTTAGCACCACTGGTGGTTATTCTTGAGGATAAGAAATGTAGTTTGTGTCTAGATTTTTGCAGAAAAAAATGCATATAGAATTAATTGAAGCAATGGGGGAAATAAACCATAGATAAACCACAAAATCCTAATAATAATAATAATTTATTATTTTTAAAAAGAGGCCCACATTTCCTCTGCTGAGAAAGCATACAATTAGAAACTTTTTCAGTAGATTGAAAACAAAAACAAGCAAACAAACAAACAAAACCTCCTCTCTCTCTTATCTGAACGATAGTGAAGACACTCATTTAGGATATGGGAATAAGGCATGTCTCTGAATCAGTTCCAGTGGATTTACCAAAGTACAAAAGGAAACCTCAAATATCATTTCTATTAGGGTTCTCATAAACAACTGGGAAGATTTGAAGTTAAAAGCAAACTGGGATGAGGATGTTGTCATAGTTTTGTTTTTAAATACACAGTACATACAAGCCTATCTGCCTTCACCTGGACCAGTTTTGGAAAACAAAAAGGCCTTGGCTTTGATGTCCCTAGGGAATAAAACCGGGGACCCTGGAACTACCCCCTCCACCGAGCATGGGGAAGGTGGGGAGGGCGCTCTTCTGCTTTGCTGCCATGGGAAAACAGCCTGGAGCTCCTCTTTTGGGACACAGCTATTTCTCCCTTCTTCCTGTTCCTTACCCTGAGGTCAGAACAGGTCCAAAGCTCTTCTGGAGCTAACACAAGGGCTGTGAGATCAGGCTTTGGAAGGACAGGTTGCAATAAAGCGAGCTTTAGAATGAAGCCACTCCGCTGAAAACTCACAGTAAAAGATGTGATCACGCTGTGGCAAGTCTGTTCTTGGGGTTTGAAACGCTTTTCTTCCCACACTCCTAAGCATTCTGAGAGGCATTTGCAGCCAAGTGCAAACAGATCGCGTATTTGGCGCAAAGAGCCCAGAGAATAAGGGACACGGGATCCCTCCCTGGTGTCCTTTGGATCAGGCGCGAGGTAGTAGTCTGTGGAGGTAGTGTTCTCACCCTGTTACCCTCGCGGGCTAATGAGGCTGCAGGTGGCAAGCGGAGCTGTCCAGCACTAGTGCGGAGCCAGCTGGAGCCCAGAGCCCTGCGCCCCTCCGCACCGTGGCAAAGCAACAGGGCTGTTGCCGGAGTAGAGGTTCTACTCACTCACTGCCTCTCGGTTCTGGTCTCGCTCCGCGCCCACGCGGCCTCGCCCGAGGAGGAGAAGGCTGTCCCCACGAGCTGCTCCAGCAGGGTGGGCGCCAACACGTTACCCTTTTCCTCCCTTTCCTCTGTAAACGTCTACTCCAGAATGATTGGGCTGGACCTTTCAGCCTTTCCCTTCCGCCTCGGAACTTCCTAAATAAACTCGGAGGAAGGAGGGGAAAAGACAAACATGGACCCTAAACCCTCGCTTCACACCGCCAGACTTCCCTGAGGTGGCCGCAGAGAGAAATCTCCCGCCTCCAAAACTGCGCCCCTCTCCCCTTGAGCACCCGCGGGCCCGTCTGCTACTCAACTGCCTTTCCCGAGGCCCAGGGATAGGACATTTTGGGTTGGGGACCCTTGGTCCGAACCCAGGCATGGTGCGCTCCTCCTCGTAGCAGGGGACTGTGGCAACGAGGAGGGCGCGCAGAGGACAGCAAGGAAGTGTCCTCGTTGCTCCTGAAACGTGGCGACAGGCGAGGCAGAGACTCCCAATGAGTATGATGGCGACACGTGATACCGGCGGAGGGAGAGCATGGGGTGGGGGTGGATAAAGGGAGAAGGAGGGAGGCGGGCAGTAAGTGGAGAGAGGCGGGAGGAGAGGGGCGGGAAGAGAGAGGGGAAAGGGGCGAGATAGTCGCGCAGGCGGCAGAAGCCTCTGCCTCCCGGACCGCACCGGCCGCAGCCCTCCCCGCCCGCCGTCAGCGGTCACACATTCGGAGCCTCCCCGCGAGCGGGAGCGCGGCGCACGGCGATGCGCTGAGGCGGGCGCTCAGGCGGCGCCGCGCGAGCAGCAGCAGAGGCGGCGGCGGCCCCCAGCCCAGCCCGGCGCCGCCGGTAAGCCCGGGCCCCAAGGTGCCGCGGCGCCCCAAGTTCCCGCCATGAGCAGCTGGCTCCTGGGGCTCGGCTGCCCCGGGTACTCCCGCCCGGCAGAGCGCGACCGCAGCGCCCCGCGGCCCCGACGCGCCTAAAGCCGCCGCTCGCCGGTCCCGCCACCGCCGCCTCCGCCCGCGTCCCCGCCACCGCCGCCGCCTCGGCCGCAATAGCACCGCCAGCAGCATGTCTCGAAGGAAGATTTCGTCCGAGTCCTTCAGCTCCCTGGGCTCTGACTACCTGGAGACCAGCCCGGAGGAGGAGGGGGAGTGCCCCCTGTCTAAGCTCTGTTGGAATGGCAGCCGGAGCCCGCCCGGGCCGCCCGAGCCCAGCGCGGCCGCGGCCACTGCCGCCCCGGCCCCGGCTGCGTCTGCTGCCGCCGCCGCCGCCGCTGCTGCCGCCGCCGCCACGGCCGGGGCCAAGAGGGCGCAGCGCCGAAGGCGGGTCAACCTGGACTCTCTGGGCGAGAGCATCAGCCGCCTGACGGCGCCCTCGGTGAGCGGGGGGGGCGCAAGGGGGGCCAGCGCTTCAGGAGAGGAGACTGGGATCGGGAAAGTTGGAGCCGGGAGACTAGGGTCTTGGGCGCAGTGCCCGACCGCTGGGGGGCGGCCCGGTCTCACCCTGCGGGTCTTAGGGTTCCCCGCGGCCCCTGGAGGGATACGAACCCCTGGGCTCAGGAAGAATAGGGGATTAGAACATGGGAAAGAAGTCAGACTCCACTCTTGGTAAATCTTTTGGTGTGAGGGAGTCTGACAACTTGTAGCCCTGGACCCTACTTCATCACTGTCTCCCTGGATGGCCCCTGTGCTTCTTCACACCCACCTGTTTTCTTTCCCCCAAACTTTCCCAGGTACTGGGCTGTTCAGTTCCATTTCCATGTCTTTAATTTCTGTTCTCAGCATCCCAAAGGAGCCCCAATCCATGCCGAGAACCTATTCCTCTCCTTATTTCCCACACTCTCTCGATCTTAGTGTGACCTTCTCTGACATCTTTGAATTCCACAGGCTATCTGCATTCTATGTTGCGTCCCTTTTCTCAAATCTTAAGAACTGTTTCATAGTTTTCTGAGCTGCCTTCTGACGAGAAACCTGCAGTCTCTCATCTGCACCCTTAGCTGTTTTTTTCTCTCTCATTCACTGAACATTTATTAACTTAATCTTCTTCTTTGGGTAAACTTAGTGTACAGTTTTCTAAACCTCTCTAGTAATTCTTGCACCCTCAACTTATCCTTCACTCTCTCTTTCCTGGATTCTTCCGTCTTTTTTCTTCATTTTTTCATGCCTTCTTTATGTTAGGCCCTTCATAAATATTTGTTCAATGAATAAATGCCTTCATAAACCTCTCCAAATTTGTACTAATCTTGGGATGTCTGTATCAGTAGTTCCAGGTGTACACCAGATTCCCCGTTTTAGGCATCCTTCCATAGTACTCCTGCCCAGGCATTTCAGCTACCCTTGACCTTTATTATTTGTAGGAATATCAGACTTCTGATCCAGTCTGTCTGAGTGAACTCTCTTTTGAAGGAATCCACTCTATTGCAGACAGAATCTGAAGGAAATTCAGTGTGAAAACTCTCTCCACCATTAAGCCTCACCCAGACATTGGAAGCAAGGACTTTAACTCCTGACAGCACCTCCCACACCCCCCCACCCCACCTCTAGGACTTTAACTTCTTCAAAGTTTCCACAATAAATCTGAACATTGATCTTATTTGCCATAAAGTTTCGCTTTTGAAAATACTCTTTCAAATGATGTTAGGAAGGACTTGAGAAATATTGGGATCCTTAGGAAAAGGGCACTGGTACAGGTAATCTTAGAAGTGTCCCCTTGGCACTTGCACTAATGGAGAGTGACTTTTTTTTTTTAACTACTCACAGTCATTTGCCTCTTCTTGTGTATTTTGCCCTTTAATATACCTTTCTGTCACCTTTTCCATTGATAACCTAGAAAGAAAGTTCAGAATGGGCTAGAGCAGTTTTCCCTACAAACATTTCTCAGGCAGTATAGGTTTAGGAACTATTTCATGTTGCAAACTGAACATAATCCTGTATAAGAGGAATTTAGTAAGGGTGTATCTGTAGGGTTGTGTCATACCTAAAGCAACATTTGTACAGTATAATAATTCTTCAATATAACAGATCCATATTTAATATAATAATCTTATTAAAGGTAATGATTAGTTTACAGGGCAGTGCCTTTAGAATCCTGGAGTTTTGTTTTTGTCTAAGAATTAGAATTTAAAAATTTCTAAAAAGTAGTGGCAGCAGTGTCTCTGGTAATGCCAATTTAACCTAAGACTGTTTTCATCAACTTACATGAGGAGTAGATAAATTGTACTTACTGCTGTAAGTCAAATATGAATGATTTTGTTATGAAAAGTTGTATACTCAGATAATGATTTCCAGAGTAAGAAATTTAGAAATAATAATGTTGATCAAACAGTGCAACAGCTCTATGTACTTTCCAAGCTGTGTGCAATTCTTTTCTATTTTGAAAAAAGTGTGTCAGGAGGATGATGAGAACATGCAGGTGAATAGTGCAAACATCTTCAACCCCACAAGGCAGGGGTAGAGAAATTCTTGTTGGCCAAGTACATCACCAGTACACTTTAGTGACACAAAGAAAACAGGTTATATTTCAAAGCAGTGACTTATTTCTGTGTGGTCTTACCCAGTTCTTTTATTTGGCAATCAGGATTTTGCCTCAAAAAGTTCTAGTAGATCCATTTTCTTACATTGTCAGGATTCAATACTTCTCTGAGAGCAAGCACTTGGAGTGATAAAATATGCCTTGTCTATTCTCTCTTATTAGGGGTGAACAACTTGTAAAACTCCTCTAGAATAGACAGGGCATGTATAGATAGGAATTTCTGGTTGTTTTTTAATACTGTGGGCTTTCTTGCATTCTATCACAATATGCTTTAGGAGAAATTGTTGCTATCAGAGCTCCTGTTTACCAGTAGAACTATGGTGAAATTTATCAATCACTTGGAATTTGCTCTTTATTGGAAGTGGAAGAATGAAAATGAATTTAACAAGTAGTTGGACATTGCCAAGTAATTTCATCCATGGAATATTCCAACTTACAGTTCTTATATTTTAGTTGTCTTTGATGTTGGTTATAAAAATTAAAATACTTTATATTATTAAATAATTTAAGTAAGTTGAGTTGGTGAAATTGAAAAAAGTTCCAGAATTCAAGAGACCTGATTGTAATTTTACCTTGAGCAATGAAATATTTGTATATCTCTGAGCTCATTGCTTTAACTGTCTAGGGTCCTTTTCAACTCTACAGTGTTATACTAAGGTTTCCTCCCTAATATGAGGTTTTACAAACATATATATTGTATTATCAGCCCTTGGATAAACAGTGATAATGGCATATGAGAGAAAAATAGGGCATATGTTGTGAATATTAAAACTTTGGAAGGAAGCAGATTACTTTTTTTTTTTTAGCAGCATAATTCATCTAATTATTCAAAAATATTTGAAGATTTGCTCTGTGGTAAGTGTTGTGGAGAGCACTGGCAATACAAACACCGAACAAACATAACTGGTCTTTGACCTCATGGAACTTCTTTGACTTAGTCTTTCTTTTAAGGAATCTGTTGAAGGAAAACATAAGAATGCCATTGGTCTTTCTGATGTCTAGGGAGTTTTCTTTATCATCCAGTTTGGTGGTTTGGTTCACTGTAAATCTGTGGACTACAGATATAATAATAAAATAACTCTAATGACTGGATTTAAGACATAAAAATCATTAATTGCATTAATTATTTTAAAATAATTTAATACTTGGGAACACATGGAGAAACAGCTGGGAATTTTACATCAAGTGTGAATTTAATCATTCATTTATTTATATTTTATTTTTGTAAATGAGAGTTGCTTAGTTGCCTTATCACTTTGACATCAGTGCTGGGTTTTGCTAATGTCAGCCTGTCATCATCAGTGAAGGTATGCCAGTAGACAAACTCAAGGGCAAGACTTCCCCAGGTTTCTTGTCAGAGAACTGTTGGTTGTTTACATCGTTGCAGGTGGCTTTGAAAAATCTCAGAAGCTAAAGAGAGAGAATGGCAGGAAGAAAAGTAACAGAACTGGAAGGATGGAAAATAAGGGAGAACAATCTACAGACCTAGGGAATTATCTAGAAAAGTGAGGAGGGAGAAATGAAAGGAAGCTGGGTTTAAAGGATGAAAAGGCCAAAATTGTTTTCATCATTTTGGGAAAGGAAATTATATTCACAAATGCTTAGGAAAAGGTGATAGGAAATAAAAAATACATATTTAACCTAATAAAGTTAGCTTTCTGACATGTGTAAATCCTTAAGAAAAATCCTTAGAAAGTATGAGTGTACGTAGCATGTAGACAGTGGGAAATACAAATAATTATTTGTGAAGTAGGAGATTTAATAATTTATGTATTTTAATTAAGGCTCAGTTTGGCTAAGAAGTTCTGAGGGACAGATTTATTGCAATTGAAAAGTAGATAAAATATATTGCACTAGTTAAATGTTTTCACATTTGTGGAATTTAGATGGCATAATTTTGAAATCAATAGTTAATGGCTGTCTATTGTCTTTCTATACCTTATCTCTAATCCTGGAGAAATGGCATGGTAGATTTGAAAGAACAAGGATAATAATCCCCCACAGAGTTCCTTACTCAGTGTGAGACCCCAGAAAGCTGCCTCCTACCTTCTTTAGGCCTTGGTTTCCTCTTTTGTGAACTAGAAATAACAACTACCTTGTAGATTTGTTGAGAAAGAGGAGTAATAGTCTTTGAAAAACTCCATGAACCCAGTAAATAATAGTTTCAGGGTGAGATCCATGAATTTCAACCAAATTTGGATCCAAAAGATTTAAAATTTTTTTCCTTTTCCCCCAATAATTCACTTGCTTATAATTGTATTGGAAAAGTTTATAGAAGAGTTTAGCAGATGTTAAGTCCAACGGGAGGGCAGGCAGAGATGAGAAGCACTTTATTTTGTTGGCATAGTCAGCCAATCCATTAAAAAAAATTAAAACTGGAGACCTTTTTTTGGCTCCCTGGCTATGATACACACACATACACAGGCATATATAACGATTGCAGATTCAAACATTTCCACCAAACTACTGACCGTTGTGTGCAATATGAGAAACACTTTTATGACTTCTCTAATAATATGAGGGCAATTGTATTTGGTAGAATGTAGGTATTTCACAGCAAATTAATTTTAAATTAGAAAAAAAATTAGATGAGAGAGAAATGAGTCATTTCATTTGTCTGAGAATGTCAAGCATTCCCCATTTATTGTTTTCAAAATAATCTATGTATGTATATTTAAAGGGCTGAGCTGTGAGATGCAACAAATACCCAGCTAAAGACTCATGTGCTTGGTGTGTGTTCAGTGCTCTATTTGTTGGCTACCAGCTTAGTTGCAAGACCTTTGTTTTAAAAAGAAAATTTGACAAGAAGAAATGCTGTCGGTAATTATGAGTTTGTAGTAGAGGTG